TGCTAGTAGAATATGAGGTTAGATGTGACAGCAGCCCCATGAAGAGCCTCCTGAGCTCCCAGACTCCCTCCCCGTGTGCCACGCACCAGCTTCTCCGCTGCCGTGTCCTCAACGAAGCGTGAGCCGTGGCCTGGCCTCCCAGTGCTGGTAACCCGCACCCCTGGGGAGATGGAGGGGGAAGGGAGGGTCTTCGGCATGAGAGGGGCTGGAGATGCAGTCAACCCTGGGATGGGCTGGGATCCCCCTGTACCAAGCTCCTTTGGCAGGGCCCTGTCCCCCTCAGAGCCTACAGCGAAGAGCTGGTTTCTGCCCATAGTCAGGATTTGCCCTCAGAGAAGCCCAGGATAGAGATGCCCAGGTAGGAAGCGGCTGGGAGGCAGAAGCCCTGGGTTGAAGGACTACTCAGGCCCCAACTTGCTGTGTGACCCTTCATAGGACCCTGCCCTTTCTGGCCTAGTCTCCCACCTATACAGTGACCCCTTCTCAAGCCCATACTCACACCAGACGCTGCGCTCACTATAAAAGACAGTGAAGGCATCAGTGGGGTTGGCCAGGCCTGAAGGGGGAAAAGGGGGTTCAGAGAATGGAGTCGCCTGGCCCCACTAGCAGCCTCCCTACCCCTGCCTGGCTGCTCAGCGCTGGCCAACCTGCTCACCCTCATCCAGGGCGAAGCCAGCCTTCAGGGCCCGGAACTCAGGTCGCTGCACGAACAGCTCCATGCCACGGTGACCCCCGACCTCCTCTTCTGTAAAAGCGACAGGAACATGAGATGAGGGAGCTGTCTCCCCAACACACCCTTCCTCTTCCCAAAGGTGTCCCTCCCTGAGCCATTCCTACCAGGAACAAAGGTCATGTGGATGGTTCTAGGGAAAGAGTGGCCTTCAAGCTTCAGCCTCCTCACTGCCTCCAGGTACCTGAGGGGGAATAAACCAGATGTTGGGGGAGCCTCCAGAGGCTCAGGGCTGCCCCAGTAAGCAGCAACAGGCAGGGCTGACAGGCTGAAGTCCTGTGCCCTGGACCCTACCCTACCACAGTCTGGCAGGGACTACAGAAAGCCCCTGGCCCTCTGTGGGCCTCAGTGTTCCCATCCATGTAATGGTCATGGCAGGAATTTGTGCCCAAAGTAAGGGGTCAAGATGTCCTTTGGTCTTGAGGTTCTCCAATCACATTCCCAGGTCCTGGATTAATCCACTGGGCTGGAGGGGACGTTGTGGGGGACTGTGAAGAGAGGACACTCACTGGATGCTGACACACTTCATGTCCTGGGTGCCCCTGCCATAGATGTAGCCCTCAGAATCCTTGAAAGCCTCAAATGGGTCATGACTCCAATATTCCTGGAGGCAGGGATGAGAAGGGGGTCAGGCCACTGCAGTCTGGTTCACAGTGGGCTGCCCTAGGAGCCCACCACAGGGGTGGGTTGACAGGTGGAGTGGCGAGGACAGAAGGCTGAAGAAGGCAGCTGACTGCCATCCTCCTCAGCCCGCCACATGTAGTCACTGCTGGGCGAAGGCTGCTTGCCGTGTGGATGTTGAGAGTTTGTGCCAGGATCAGCACCATGGACTGCTGAGATTGGATTCTGGGGCTGTATCATGTCTGTCCCCAAGGCCTGCACTGCCCCCACTACACACCTTGAAGACAGGCACCACATCCGTGTGAGAGTTGAGCAAGATGGAAGAGAGTGCAGGGTTGGTGCCTGGCCAGGTCAGCACGGTCACCACATAGCCAGGTGCCACCTGGAGAGCGTCAGGAGGGGACACGGTCAGCACAGGGTGAGGAGGTGCCCCAGACCCATCTCCCTTCCCTACTCAGGGGTGCAGGCTCACCTCCACTTTCTGGCAGCTCAGGCCCAGCTGGTGGGCTCTCTCCTCAAGGAAGGCCACGGCAGCCCCTGGGGGCACAGAGAGTCTTGGGCTGCTTCTGCCTACGGCTCCCAGTAGCCAGGCAGCCCAGAGAGGGCAGCAGCCCAGTGCTGCCTTCCCAACACAATTGCACACCCTTCAGAGACACTTGCATTTCTGTCCCCAAGAAAGAAGACATTTTGGCCAGTGTGACCCTTTGTAGAAGGCCAGGAGGAAGTCCAGGATTGGAGGCTGCTGTCATCTTCCTTAAATATGGGGAAACTATGGCACAAAGACATGTAGAGATTCACCCAACATCTCTCAGCTGGCAAGTCACAGAGCAGGGATTTGGACCCATGTACACAATTTTCAGCCACCAAGCTTGATTCCCTAAGGGCGGTGGACTTTGTCCAGCCCTGGTAGGCTCTGGAGGGCCCTTGTGGCCGCCCCAGTCTCCCCCAACCACTCCTGCCCTGCAGAGTGAAGTTATTCTTTAACTAGCTGCCAGGAGTAACCTCTGAAGCAGAACAGCCCCTGGGGAAAGGTTTCCTCCGCAGGCTGGAGGGGCTGCCTCAGTCTGCTGATCTGGCGAATGGCCAGAGGGGTTGAGGAGCCGTTTGGGGCAGCAGAGTGCGGTCAGCAGGGTGACAGCGCCGGGAGCTAGTTTAGAGCACAGTCCCCGCCCCTTGGGCCCCTTCACAGGCTCGGGAAGCACCGCCTTCTCACCGTAGTCCGGCTTGGGCTGGACGGTGCGGATGCGCAGGTACTGGCGAAAGAGCGTCACGGACGGGTGCTCGTCCTCGGGACCCTTGCTGGCCATGGCGCCGCGCGTGGTGAGCTGGGGCAAAGTGCATGGCTAACTACCGCTCTGCACGCAGCCCCTCCCCAAGCAGTTCCCCGGACGTCCCAGAGGAGAGGACGCCCTGTTTCGGGGCCCCCGTTAACGGAGCCCCTATTCCGTTTCAGGCACTGTGCTGCCCGCTTTCGGCACAATTCCTTATTTAATCCCCAAAGAGCCCCATGAAGTCTGTGCCTCTGCCAGGGATAGCTGAGCCAGGCTGACCCCTGGCATGGACTCCCCCGCCCTGCTTCAGACATGCCTCCCAGCTGCCCGGCTTCCAAGCCCGGGAGCCTCCATCCCTCTACTCCCCAGGGCTCCCACCTCGCTTTCTCCCGGTCTGGAGCCCGCGCTCGCCTCCCAGCGTCCGCCAGACTGCGGCTGGGACTCCGGGGAGTCTCGGCGAGGCCTCAGGCTCGGGACCGCCCCGATCCTCCCACCACGTGGCCGGAGCCTGAGCGCGGGGCGGGACCGAAGACTGAGTAGGGAAGGGGCCGTCCCACCCCTGCGGCCGCTGCGGCGCAGGCGTCCCGCCCCGGGCCTGGGCTCGGCGGGGAGGCCCGGACCCCGGACCCCGGACCCCGCCCCGGGGCAGCTCCGCCGCGGCCGTGCCCCGCGAGTGGCGACCTCCGGGCTGGCCCCGGCCGCCCGCGCGCCCGCAGGACACGCCCCACGCCCGGCCCCAGGAGGGCCCCGCCCCAGGGGACTGCCTTTCGTTCAGCCTCGGGACAGAGCCCGAGGAGAGGAGGCTCGGGGTGCAGGGCTGCAAAGTCCGCCGGCTCCCCTGCCCCCTCCCGCGAGTCTGCTGCCGCTGCGCCTTCCCTGACTCAGCCCCTCAACGAGGGCCTCCCTGGCCGCCTGGCTGCCTGTGTAGTGAGGCTGTTGGTTGACGTCTGTCCGCCCCACACCAGGAGCTCTGCTCTGGCGGCGGGCAGCGTGGGTGCTGGGACAATGGGTCAGAGATGAAAGCTAAATGCATGGATGACAGCACTCGTGCCGGTGTGAATGTGCCACTGTGTGGGCAAATCTAACGCTGTGTATCAGTGAGGGTGACTGTGTGCCACTGTGAGTGTGAGATGGTGGGCAGGGTGACAGGATGTCATGGTGAGAGGGTGTAATTGTGATGCTGAATGACAGTGTGAGCGGTGGGGAAACCATGCCAAGCTCTCTGGCTCTTCTGCAACCCCCAGGGAGGGAGGCTAAACAGAGGCACAGGTGCCCCACTGGTACCCTCAGGCTGCACACAGGTGTAGACAGATGCCCACGTGTGCACCTGGTTGCCATTTGTACCCCCTGCCCTCTGCTCCAGGGGCTGAACTAGCTTGAGGCAGGGTGAGGGGTGAAGACTTCAACCTCTGGGCCAAAGAGGCTGGAGGGGAAGGGAGGAGTTGGTTTCAGTCTTGGCTGCTCACCCATAGATGACAAGGGGGCAGACAGGCTTGGTGGTTCACTGGCAATGCTGTGGGGGGTTTGTTGTTTTGTTGTTGTTTTTTTTGTGACAGAGTCTCACTCTGTCACCTTGGGTAGAGTGCATCATAGCTCACAGCAATCTCAAACTCTTGGGCTCAAGTGATCCTCTTGCCTCAGCCTCCCGAGTAGCTGGGACTATAGGCGCATACCATGACACCCAGCTAGTTTTTCTATTTTTAGTAGAGACAGGGTCTTGCTCTTGCTCAGGCTGGTCTCAAACTCCTGTTCTCAAGCAATCCTCCTGCCTTAGCCTCCCAGAGTGCTAGGATAAAAGGTATGAGCCACAGTGCCTGGCCTGCAATGCTGTGTTAATTCTTTTTTTTTTTTATTTTTTTAAATTTTAGCATATTATGGGGGTATAAACATTTAGGTTACATATATTGCCCTTATCCCCCCCGAGTCATAGCTTCAAGTGTGTCCATCCCCCAGCTGTGTTAATTCTTAAACCTCATTCCCCACAGCCACCTCCACATATCCTACTTCCTTTGGCCCCAGGTTCCTGACTCCCCCAACTCAGCTGCCCAGACCCTGCATGTCCCACCAATCCCCAATCCCAGTGGTCACACAGTAGCAGTAATACATCCCTTTCCCAGCCTTGTGTGGCCAGGTGCTTCACTTATCCAAACTCATGCAATCCTACAACCACCCTCCAAGCCAGATATTGCCATCATGACCCTTTTACAGATGATGAAACTGAGACATAATGGTGAGGACAGACAGCTTGGAAGTGGTACAGTCTTAGCCCTCTCAGGCTGCTGGAGCACACTCTGCAGCTCCCAGCCCCAAAGTAGTCCCAGACTTGCCTCCTACGTCTTCCTCTCCCAAAGCATGCTAGGAAATGGTACCTGTCACACCCCAGGCAAGACAAATGCTTTTTTATTGTGTCTGTGAGATGAAATGAGAGGTCCTGGCTGGATCTGACCCTCTGACCTCTGCCCTTCAATCCCAGGGGCTGCCTCCCTGGTGGCAGGAGGGTTGTGGTCCAGACCCTTCAAGCTCAGGCCAGGCCTGGGGCCTGGGTAGCAGGTTAGTTCAAGACAGATGGTCAAGGAAGGCAAGGAGGACAAGGTGGAAGTCTTGTGGCTTGTGGAGGTAGCAGGCATGGCCTGCATTGCGCAGCTTCACCACAGAGTGGTTGGGCAGGTGGCGGAGCTGCTGCAGAGACTCTTGAGCCAGGATGTGGTCCAGCTCTCCATACAGGATGAGGGTTGGGGTCTGCAAGGCAAGGCAAGGGGCTGTGACCTTGGGGCCTGATGAGGATCTGACCACCCCCAAACCACCTCCTTAGGAAGCCTTCCCCAAACACCCCACTTCTTCCATCTAAGATCAAGAATAAAGCCATGTCCCTTTAGGTAAGACTTGAGTCCTGAACCCCCATGACCCAAGCCAGGGACAGGGTGCCAGGACCCTTGAAGATCCTTCTCTCAGTACCTTCACAGCCCAGAATTGCTCCTGGGTGTAGTTCCGCGTGGAAGTGGGTGCGATGGGCACAAATCCATGTAGCTGGTGGTGGCCTCCCATCAGGAAGGGCAGGGCGTAGTGGCCGCTCAGCGAGGGGCTCACCAACACGGCATTCCGCACCTCCAGGTCCCGCAGCACCTGCTCCAGCAGCCCCGCCCGGCCTGCTTCTGTGCTTGCCTCCTTTGAAGGTGCTGAGTTCCCAAAACCTGAGAACAGCAGCAGGCACCAGCTGAGGGGGGCTGCGAAGGGGCCCAGGACTGCAAGGTACATACTACCACATACTTCCTAGAAGCTACTTTTTGTAATGTAATAGACCTGCTAGAAAAACATATCTTTCATTCATCATATTAGCAAAACTAAAAAGACTAAACATCCAGTATTGGGGAAGATATGGGGAAATGGGCACTTTCATACATGACTGATGGGAGAATGAATCCGTATAGCCTTTTGGAAGGTGAGGTAGTATTTGTCAAAATTTTTAAATGTGTATCCTTTGACCCATCAATTGTCCTTTTTTTTTTTTTTTTTTTTTGAGACAAAGTCTCACTCTGTTGCCCAGGTTAGAGTGTCGTGGTGTCTGCCTACCTCACAGCAACCTCAAACCCTGGGTTCAAGTGATCCTCCTGCTTCAGCCTCCTGAGTACCTGGGACTACAGGCATGTGCCACCATTCCCGGCTAATTTTTATATATATATATTTTTAGTTGTCCAGCTAATTTCTTTCTATTTTCAGTAGAGACGGGTCTCGCTCTTGCTCAGGCTGGTCTTGAACTTCTGAGCTCAAACGTTCCACCCACCTCGGCCTCCCAGAGGGCTAGGATTACAGGTGTGAGCCACCATGCCTGGCCTCAATTGTCCTCAATAGCTATCTAGAAAAATTAGTGACCACATGCTCAAAGAAGCATGTCCAAAGATGCGTCAGCTACATTATGTGAGCATTTCAACTGACACTGAAAACTCTAAGTCAATCTACATATCCACCAGTAGAGGAATGGCTGGATAAACCCTGGGCCTCCTTCCTACAGCGCACACAGAGGAGTTCACAACAGAGGGTGGTTTGCAGGAACTGGTGTGGTCCATGCGACATGGTGTCCACGGAGAAAACTGAGCTGCAGATGGATTAGCTGAACAGGAAGGACAACAGTCATGTTTACAATCCCCACCAGACAACCTGCATACTGTGTGTATCTCTGTGTATGAAAATGCCCAGAAGAGGGTCTGCCACCCCCCAAACTGCTTAGAGAGGGAGAGAAATGTGGCACCAGTCTCTGAAGGCATCACTATTTTTTGATTTTGTTTTTTCTTAATGAGAAGAATGACATTTGTAGACAGAAGGGTGATGGAGCCAAATAAAGAAAGAGAAACAAATAAGTTAAAATAATATAGAAAAATTTTAATTTTTAAAAAAATAAAAAAAAAGAGAAGAATGACAGCACAAATCATTTGTGTATTTAAAAACACAAAAAGCTACATTGTTTGTAATAAAAAGTACAGTGAACCCTTCCCCCACAACTGCTTGTGCAGTGAGTCACATTTCTATTTGTTCTGTGACATACAACAATCTACACTGTGGTTTTCAAGGTAGAAAATAAAAATACAAACTTTTTTGTGGTGCCATCTTGTGCTGTGACCTACCACTGCTTGTCCAGACATTGGAGTCCAGAAGCTCCCAGCCACACCTTAGGGCTTCCCTACCCCTCTAGTGCCCCCTTCTGGGAGAAGCTGCCACCTTGTAGCTGCTGCATCCTGCTTCTCTCGACCCTGGGGTGGGGGTGCTCACCTGGAAGGTCAAGGGCCACGGCCCGGTAGCCCCTCTGCGACAGCAGCTGCAGTGTGCCCAGCTGCTCCCAAGTGTGGGAGTTGAAGGCCTTTCCATGGAGTAGCACCACCTCCACCCTGCGGGCACACAGGGGAATCTGTATCCTGGGGCCTGGGGGAAGCCACCGTTCTTTCTTCCTGGGCTTCTCCCACTGCGCTCCCAGTCCCTGAGCACCCTGAGTCAGGCTGGGGTCCCACACAGGAATTCCCCTTGGGCCTAGTCCCTCTACTAGGCCCTTAGGTCGGCACCCACCTGTGTGGCTGACGGAGTGGGAGCACCTCGCGGTAAAAGATGGGGGAGTTGCCAGGGGTGAGACCAGCCAGGACTGTGACATTGGGGTCTCCCCAGCGCCAGGAAGTCTGCTCAGGGAGGCTGGGCAGCCCCACATACAGTAGTAGCATGAGCAGCAGACCCAGGCCCAGCAGGGCTACTTGGGACCGGCTCATGGAGGTCTGTACCACAGTCTGGAGGAGAAGAGGAGAGGGAAAAGAGGCTGGGGCTCAGTCCCAACAAGGATCCCTGGACCCTACCCAAAACCCCATTCAGAATACCCCAGCAGGAAGAGCTGCAGCCCTTGCCCTCTCCCTTGTTCTGGACAAAGGTCTGAGGGCTCACACCCAACTAGTCCACATACCAGGGCATCAGATACCCTGCAGAGTTAGGAGGTGTCTCTGAGGTATTCTGGTACACAGCATGCTCAGTGACCACCATCATCACTGTGGCAGCAAAACCACTTCTGATCATCAAGTGACAGCAGGCCCTGGGCTTGGCCCTTCACATACTAAGGCTCAAAGATCCACAAAGAATACTGGGGAGCAGATGTAACTATAGGTCTCTTACAGATGAGGAAATGGAGGCTCAGAGAGGTAGCAAGTGGGGGAGCTGGGCTCTTAACCACCAGGCTACACTCGGCTTGCCAAAGAGGAAAGGGCTGGGAGGCGACAGATAAAGTGGAGCCTTGCTGGTGGACAGAGTGGTGAGGACCATCAAGGGGACCTCCCACTCAGGGTGTGTTTGGAAGTAGTTGTTTTTATCTTGCTACATATAACACTGCTAAAATCAGAATGTGTTTTATAATCACATTATATTTAATGGTCTACTCCAGCTGTATTAAGAGGCTCACAGAGAAGGTCCTTGATGCAGGAAATGCTGAGGCACAAACGGGGGGCACAAGGAGGAGCATGGTGTACCTAAAACTGGAAAGGCAGCCTAGGGCTGGAGAGATGAACGTCACCTCCCTGTTCCCATTCCTCACACACAAACAGCCTCATGCCAAATGATCTGCTTCACAGGCTCTTCAAGTCAGGGGCCTTTGCCAGCCCAGGCAACAGACCTCAGGACCCAGGACCCAAACAAGGCAGGTAGCCCTGGCTTTTGAGATTGCCATTTCCTCCTGTGTGTTTCGGTTTGTCAGTAAAATGGGATAACCTTGTGGCTGCCCTCCTAAGCCTCCTGTGGGATTTAAATAATACAATGGACTTGACACAGGACTGTCTCTGTATTTCTTGGGCCTAGGATGAGCATGCCTGCCCCATCCCAGGATTCCAGTAAACACATCTTTATCAAGCACCAACTGGGTGCCAGGCTGAGCTAGGAGCTGGGGACCTGTCTTGGGCCCCACCCACCTCTCCAGGATGTTTTGAGGATGTTTCCCCAGCTTCCCACCCTAGGCTCTGGGGTCAGGTGGTTCAGGTGGGCCCCAGTGGCATCCTCTCTGGTGCTTCTGGAGAAGCAGGAGCCTGGCGGGGAAGAGCACACTCCTCTTTTCTTCCAGACCATAGCCTCTGACACACGCCTCCAACTGGGTGTTACTCCAGGCTCCCACCAGGTGGAGCATCCCCATGGGACTTTTTCCTTCGTCTGCTGGGGTGCCCCCATGCCTCTCCTGGGATGGAGGCACAGGGCTTCAGCCATTGCCTTGACAACCTAGGGTGCTGGCAAGACTACACGATAGTAACAGGACTGCAGCCCCGGGCTTAATCTGCTCTACAGATGGTGGGGCTGAGATAAACTGTGCCCACATTAGGTCACTGGAATACACACTGACAATGACACAGTGTATACACCTGCCCCCAGGAGACAAGTCTTGCTCCCATACACTTTGCTTTTGCACAAGCTATTCCCTGCATATACATGCAGCCTCCTTGCACACACACACTGGCCCATGCGCAACCAATCCCTTGGAATAATACTCTCTAAATCACGCACACAGTCAAGCAACAGGAAGGCAGACTAATGGAGACACACGCTTTCAAAACCACACACAGGTCAGGCATGTAACCCCAGTTTGCCTGTAATCTCAGCACTTTGGGAAGCCAAGGTGAGAGGACTGCTTGAGGCCAGGAGTTCTAGATCAGCCTGGGCAACATAGCAAGACGGATCTCTTTTTTTTTTTTTGAGACAGAGTCTCACTTTGTTGACCAGGCTAGAGTGAGTGCCGTGGCGTCAGCCTAGCTCACAGCAACCTCAAACTCCTGGCTCAAGCAATCCTCCTGCCTCAGCCTCCCAAGTAGCTGGGACTACAGGCGTGCGCCACCATGCCCGGCTAATTTTTTCTATATATATTAGTTGGCCAATTAATTTCTTTCTATTTATAGTAGAGACCGGGTCTTGCTTTGCTCAGGCTGGTCTCAAGCTCCTGACCTCAAGCAATCCGCCCGCCTGGGCCTCCCCGAGAGCTAGGATTACCGGCGTGAGCCACCGCGCCCGGCCTAGACCCTGTCTCTTAAAATAAAAAACAAAACCCACGACCATATATAGATCCTCAGAGATACTCAAGCACACAGTCATACGACCCTAAAACTACACGCACAAGCCAGACACATGCACACACAGGCAGAAACGCACACACAAGCATACACACAGGTAGATACACACCCTCAAAGTCACACGCGCGCAGAAATACAGTAGACAAACGCGGACACGAGCAGGCTGACACTGAGGAGCACACTCCCAGTGTAAGTGCGCAGCAACACACGCTGACAGACACCACACAGACACACAGGCGGACACACGCCCCCGACCTCCGAGACGCACAGGTCCTCGCAGACACGTGCGCGTACACGCCCACACGCACACGCGCTCTCGCCGCCCCCGCGCCCGCCGCTTCCGCAGGACTCTGCCCCAGGGCACCGGGCAAGGGGCGGGGCAAAGATGGCCGGCCCTCGGACAGCCTGTCGACCTCCCTACCCCGGGACACTCACCGGGCCGCGGGCCCCGCCCACGCGGAACCAGCAGCCGAACAGCGCCCCGACCATGGCGCGGCCTTCGCCGCTCGGGCGGCTACTCCCCCACTCGGCGGCGCGGAGCGCGGCCTCGGAGGCGCGCATGCGCAGTCCGCTCCGCAGGCCTGGCGCCCTGTCACGGAGCAGGCCCTGTTACCCGGGCTCCGAGGGCCGTCCAGATTTTCCAGGTTGCTTTGGCCTAAGGGATGGTGGAGAGCCACCTGGCTTCTTCCCCTAGAACCATCCTCACCCTCTCTCAGCTCTCTGGTCTGTACAGGAGTTGAGGATAAGATCCACAGCATAGGGTTGTCCTAGGTACATACCTAAGGACCGGTCAAGCCGAGAACAGGGTGGGGCGGAGGCCGCCCGTGTGAATGCCAGACACTGTTAGGCAGCGGCTCCAGGTCTCGGCCCAGCCACTTCCCTGCGCACACACTCGGCGGGGGCGGGGGCCCGCCGGGCTCCTTCACGTGAACTCATGGTACCCATCCTGGCTGGCGGTATGGGGCCATCGGGTCTGTCCCAGGCTCAGGGCTCCGGTATGGGGCCATCAGGTCTGTCCCAGGCTCAGGGCTCCGCGCGGCGACCACCCCAGCGGAGGGCTGGTTTACTTTTTTTTGGTACCCTGCAGAGGTTGGCAACACCCAACTCACCCTACAGGCAGGAAACAGACTCGGAGGCATTAGGAAAACGATCAATGCCACCTGGCTGGACACTGGCGGAGCCTCGCATTCAAACCTGTCAGACCTCAGCTCCGTGCCAGGCGCACAGCTCTCTGCCAGTCAGACAACTCTGGCCCTGGGCAGTTCTGGCTGGGCATGAGGGGGATGGGAGGGAGCAGGAAGGGAGCAGCAGGGATGCGATCCCGAAGGAGCCCTCCTCCTCAAGCTGCGCCATGTCCTTGTGGGGCAGGCCGTTGGCGGTTTGGGACCGCGCGGGGATTGTGGGGCCTCGGGATTGGGGAAACTGAGGCCACAGTGAGAACAAGGAGAGGGTTCAACGGCGCCAAGGGAGTCAGCGGCAGCTCATGCGCAAGAGGGCGCCCAGGAGCACGGCCTAGCCCCCGCCCCGGGCTGGCTCCTCCCTGCTTCCCTGCTTCCCTGCCCGGGCCCATCCGCCGCCAGCACTCGCCTGCCTCCGGTCGCGCGAGTCCACGCAGCCCCCCAGGTACCTGCCCTGCGCTCTCGACCCTCTCTTCCTCCCTCCAGTCAAAACCCACCCGCACCTACCCAAATCTTCCCATCTCGGATCCCCAGGTCCCCTTCTTAGGGGCTGTCCCCAGCCCCTCCCCGTGCCCGCTTCCAGACCTGGCTCGCCTGGACCGCTGTCGGTGGAGGGGACAGAGCGAGCTGTGGGGGCGCCCCTGACTGCGGCGTCAACGCGCTGAGGCCCGGCGGGCAGCGCGCGGAACACCCCGCGTCCCTGGCGGACCAGAATTCCAAAGCCCTTCCCTCTTTGGGCACTTTGGTTTCCGCCTCTGGAAAATTCCGCTCTTTAACTCCAAGTTGGGCTCCTTCCGGCCTGGGGTGCTAACACACGACAGTGCTTTGGGGAGGATGAGGTCGATAAGCGAAACAGTCAGGTACTTACCGTTGATTGAGCACTTACTATGTGCTAGGCACGCACATGCGTGGCCTCATTAATCCTATCAACCGCCTGGAGCTAGCACTGTTGAATTATCCCCATTTGTAGAGAAGGATAGTAAGGATGAGAACAGTGATCGTAATGGGAGCCCCATGTTTTGAGTTCGTACCCTCAACAAGCATCCGCACTGTTATTTTTTTTAAAAAAAAACTCTTAAGTAAATTCCTAATTCTTGAGGTAGACTTTATTGTTCCCATATTGCAGACGAAGGAGCTGAGGCCCAAGGTTACACAACTGAGTGGCAGAGGCAGAAATAACACCTATGTCTTCCTGACCCCAAAGCATGTCCCTAGAGTTCTGGGAGCCTCCTGGAGGCCTCCTTGCTGCTGCCCACTCCCCTCTCTGTGGCAGCCTCCCGCTCCACCTGGGCAGTGTGTTCTGTGGCCCCTCATCAGCCTGGCTTTGAACCACAGGCACTTGAGCAGCACAGCTGCAGCAGGCATGGCGGCAGGCGTGGAGCAGAGCCAGGGCACCTTCCAGGTGCAAGGCCAGAGCCTCTTCTTCCGAGAGGCACGACCGGGCAGTGGGCAGGTCCGCTTCTCTGTGCTGCTGTTGCATGGTATCCGCTTCTCCTCCGAGACCTGGCAGAACCTGGGTACGCTGCACAGGCTGGCCCAGGCTGGCTACAGGGCTGTGGCCATTGACCTACCAGGTACTTTAGGGGGAGGCTTCTGGGCAGGGGTTGGGGAGGCCTCATTGGGGACCCAGGGCTGTGGCCCTGGGAGGACTGGGAGGACATAGCCAGGCTGGGTCCAGAGGTTGACAGAGTTCAGTACACACTGCAAGAACCTTTGAGCTCGTCCAGTCTTGACCCAGATATGGTCTGGACATTGCCCAGCTGCTCCTCACTGTTACCAGGAAGTGTCCCAGTGTCTCCTAGCCTGTGCCCTCAACTGCAGTGGGAGGTAACTGCACTGACATTTGGGGCAGGCGCTAGTGAGAATAGGATGAGATTATCTACATGAGTGTGAGTAAGTAGCTAGTACCTGATACATAGTAACTGGTGTTTAGCCAGTTGGAAGTAAAATACTTTCACTGAACTATAACCACAGGCAGTTGGAGCCCTGGGTAGTGAGACCTGAGTCTGCTGGGGCCTTGAGGGGTAGGGCCTGGTGGGTGGCCAGGGCCCCTGTTGTGATCCATATGCAAAGCCCCAGCTGGGCTCTGGGGCATGTGGGGCAGCCCCCAGACTGCCTGTAATAACCTGGACTGCCAGGTCTCAGCCCTCGGTGGAAGGGGCAGCATGGTTGATCTGACCCTCTCACCAGCTTGGTTTCAGGGCCCAAAGGCAGGCCTCCAGCCTGGACAGGACTGGTTATGACAGTGGGTTGGCTGAGCTTTAGGGCAAAGGTCTTGAGCTAATCTTGTTGGTGAAGGTGGGGATGGACTGACTGAAGGGTGGGGAGGTATGAGGGCAGAACCAGCCCCTCAGCCACTGTCCTTAAGGAACCCACCCTGTGCCAATTCAGGGCCAGGTGACTTTTAAGCAGTTAATTTTCACAACAGTCTTAACTGGCAGATACTTTTGTTATTCCCTTTTGACAGATGGGGAAACTGAGTAACTGAGAGAGAGCTGAGGGGGACTTGCCCAAAGTCACATAGACAGTAAATGGATAACTGGGACTTGGATCCAACCCTGTTGGACGTCAGAGCCTGATTCTTTCCAGGACATTGTTACTCTTAGAAGAGATGGGCACACACATGAAGAGAAATGCCTCATGCTTGCCACAATGTGATAGATTGAGACTGCTATAGGAATAAACTTGGGCACACTGGATGTTAACAGGAACCTGGGCACAGAGAGATTGACCCAGGAAGGCTTCCTGGAGGAAGGGATCTTCTCTTCCTTGTTTTCCCATTCATTGCCCTGGTCTTGTTTCTCCCACACCTGAATCCCTGCAGGTCTGGGGCGCTCCAAGGAAGCAACAGCCCCTGTCCCTATGAAGGAGCTGGTCCCTGGCAGCTTCCTGGCAGCTGTGGTAGATGCCTTGGAGCTGGGCCCCCCGGTTGTGATCAGTCCGTCGTTGAGTGGCATGTACTCCCTGCCCTTCCTCACCGCTCCTGGCTCCCAGCTCCGGGGCTATGTGCCAGTGGCCCCCATCTGCACTGACAAAATCAATGCTGCTGACTATGCCAGTGTGAAGGTACTCCTGAGGTGGGAAGCTGAGATGCCTCTGCTGGGAGCAAGGAAGGATCTATCCCTGGGCCTTTCTCATATGGGGGCTGGGTAACCAAGGGTGTCTTCTGGGAGGAGATCACCACCAAGCTCCACCCTTTTTGTTTACTTAGCAGATTACTCTGCAAAGCCCTGTGCTAAACTGTGTGCTGGGTCAGACACCAATCCATGCCCCCACCCACTGGGCCAGCTTGTCTCTTCTCCTCATTTGGGGTGGCCTAAGGGAGAGACTGAATTGGTGGGGAGAGCTGAAGCTGGCCTCCAGGAGGATGGGGCTGGTGTGGCAGGTTCCTGTTGACTCTGCCCTCCTTTCCTTTCTCTCAGACTCCAGCTCTGATTGTATATGGAGACCAGGATCCCATGGGTCAAACCAGCTTTGAGCACCTGAAACAGCTGCCCAACCATCGGGTGCTGATCATGAAGGGGGCGGGGCACCCCTGTTACCTGGACAAACCAGAGGAGTGGCATACAGGGCTGCTGGACTTCCTGCAGGGGCTAGCATGAGGCCCTGCGTTGCTGATGGGGATGGGCTGCCTGTCTGCCTTGAGGTCTCTCTCCCCTCCATGGGCTCTGGCTCACCATGCACATGCAACAGGTGTGTCTGTCTGTATGTCTTTCTGGGTTCTTTTGGGGTCTGTCTTCTCTGCTTCTTTCTCTTGCAGTGACGGACTGATGAGCTAAAATCAAGAGGAAAAACTCAGGAATCGGGACGCGTAATCTGGTGGAGGGTAATTCTTCTGTGCTAGGCTTGCTGGGCTTTCTTCACTCCTTCCTCTGCTCCGCCCAGCCTTCCCCTCCCACCCCCTCCTCCTCCCTCCACCTCCCAACACACACACTTCCCCCTCTTTTAGGCCATAGATACATACATGCTCACATGCATGCTTACACTTTTAGAAGCTATCTATGTTCCCAAATATGACCCTTCACTTTGGTACATGTAACTCTGCATAGGTACATGTAACTCTGGACTGACATGCACATTCTCATGTGCAGTTGTGCATTGCATGCACATACACACATGCCTCCACACAAACACTTGCACAGGTACACGTGCACTTCTAACCATGCAGCACCTCACTGGCTGGGAAAGTGGGGACACCATGGGCCAGCCCTTGCAGGAGACCCTTTTGCCAAGCTTAGGGTGTGGCTAGCCTTGGATTCTACCTAGCTTGCAGCTGGCCCCCACCCAGAAATGCCACACAGAAGGGAAGGGCCACCTCTCTGCCTCTCAGTTCTTGCTTTTCCCCTTCCTTCTGGATGTTCCACACCTCCTTGGGTTATCAAGCCTGGATCTTCTCAGCCAAGCTTGTTTTCTGCTGTGAGGTTTGGGGATGGGGGGTGGGGAGACAGAGAGTGGAGGTCGGTGAAATAAAGTGATGCAATTAGACCCCACAGGCTCTTGCTGTTTCCAGAGCGCCGCCCCTCCCCCACCTCTTGGGACCAACACTGTGGGCCCCTCCCCCACCCTGGTGGGACCAGATGGTCCCCCTGCCCTTTGTCCACAGGCCAGATGGAAAGGAAGGGAGATTGGATTCCCCTCCCCACCCACACACACAGGTGCCAAGACACTCAGTTGTTGGGGGAGGTGGAGGTCAGTGAGACCAGGCTGAGCCGATTACAGACGGGGGAGTATTTGCTCCCCAGGGCCCCCCCACCCCCGGGACTTGGGAACAGCTCAGCTCTTCCCCCCACTCATCCCGTCCCTAGTAAGGGACTCTGGGGCGCCCATCCCTTGCAACCCTAACCCAAAAAAGAATTCTGGAGGTAGATTTGGGGGAATCGCGGGGCGGGGTGCACCAAGGCCACACGGCTCTCAGGCCCCTCCTCCAGCTGGTCGGGTAACCTGTGCTACGTGGACAAGGGCCAGCAGTGCGGAGCTGTGGGCGGCTGAAGGGCACGGGTCTGGGTGGGCGAGAGGCCGAGCGGTGGATGGCGCAGGAGCGAGGGGAGCTGGGCGGGGCGGAGGGTCGAAGCCAGAGTTCCGAGGGACCCGGCCGGGAGCGAGGCGGGGCCGGGCGGCGCAGGGGCGAGGCCGAGACGGGGGTGCAGGGGGCTCGGCAGAGGCGCGGGGCGGGCGGCCCGGGCGGAAGGGCTGGCCTGGCCGGAGGGGAGCTGCGCGGGGCGGAGCGTGGCTGGGGCCCGCGCTTCTGGCCCGACGCCCCTGCCCCCCACTCCCGGGGGCTCTGGGAGCTGCAAGGGAAGGGTCTTCCGAGCCCTCCCGGAAGCGGCTGCCGCTCGGGGCGCTCCGCTGCGCGCGGGGCGGGGCGGGCGGCTGCGGCACTGGGGCGGCTGGGGCGGGCCCGCCACGCTGTAATCGGATCCGGGGAGGGGGCGGGGAGGGGCCGGGCCGGGCGGGCCGGGGGGTGGGGGGGGCGCGGAGCCGGGCTCCGGGCCGGCCGGGCTCCGCGCCTGTCAAACCCCTCATTGTTCGCAGCTGATGTCACTCGCAGTTGTGAGCGGCCGCCTCTCCCAGGGACAATGTGGGACTGAGCGGCCCAGCCGCTGTGCCGCCGCCGCCGCCGCCGCAGGACAGCCCCAGCGAGGTAGGGCGCGGGCCGGGCGGGGCACGGCGGGCTGCGAAGTTTGGGGGTTCGCCTGGGGGTGGAGAGCCCGCGCCCAGATCCACGGGCTGGGGGCCCGGGTTTAGGGGACTGGGGGACTGTGAGGAACATGTTCCCTGTCCTGTACGGCCGAGGCCTGCACAGGTGGGGGGCGCTGGTCTGCCAGAGGAGCCCCCAGCACCAGGGACAGGCTTTCAGGACCTTAGATCCCAGATTTGAGGCCCCCATCCCACTCACTGTTTTGTGTTTTGGGCCTGCTCTTCTCTTGACCTCCTGCCCTGGTTCTGGTTCTGCTCCTTCTCTGCCCCCATCTGCCATTCCCCTGCAGCTCCTGGCTGGGCACACACCCCTTCCCATTCTCTGCAGTCCTTGGGGGAGCCAGACACAGACCTCCAGGCCATGGTGTGTGGAAATGACAGTAGGGGGCTCAGAGTCCCTTTTGCCCTGTGACTCTTCAACCCTTCAGCTCTGACCTAGCTTCTTGCCAGGAGTCCTTGGGGGTGGAGTGGGAATGGGGGGCTCTGCTACTCACTTCAACCCAGCCCTCATGCCTGCCTGGCCAGGAGAGGGAGGTGCTGGCCTCCTATTCCACTATCCCTGGCCCGCCATCTTGAGACCTGTGGCACCCAGTGCCCCGCCCGGCCCCGGCACCCAGGGGAGTGGTCTTCAAGGTGATGTACCCAACGCCAGTTGCTTTCCTCCTCCCAGAACATGGGGCTCTGGGTACCCACCAAGCCCAGGATGATCACCTTCATGCTAGACCAATAGGGCATGTGTCCCAGGGCCCCTCCTTCCCCCACAAAGAGCTCTTAGACACCATAGACTCCCTAGGAGCTGAGCTCCAGCCCTCACTGTACCCTGGGATCACCATCATTTCCTCAGGTCCAGCACCTAGGACCCTATTCTTTCCTCATCTGAAAATCCCCTAGCCCTTCCAGGTCTTGGAGCCCCTTCAACCTCCAAGGTGCCCCCATCCCAGCCCCCACCCCCAGCCTTCATCAGCATGCAAGCTCAGGCTGCCCAAACACAAGGGGATTGTTCTCCTTGCATGCTCAGGGTGGGGGGCTGGGAGCAGGCAGCCCACACACCCTGGCAGGCCCAGGCCACTGGGAGGCTGGCTTGCCCCACCCTGTGTCCCCAGACAGGCTCTGTCCAGCCTCCCTACTCCCATCACAGCCCTCCTTCCAGGCTGTGTCACCATCACCCAGTGGTGCTGACCCCTTGGGGAAAGAGATCTAAGCTGCACAGGTAGACCCCTGGATTCTTCCAGCTCTGCCACTTGCCTCCCCTGTAGCCTTACAAACAGTTTCCGTCCTCTCTGGGCCTCAGAGTCCTCTCTTTATTGGTGAGGCCCTTCCAGCTGTGACAGGCTGAGCCTGGCTCAACTCTGAAACCTACCTCACCCCCAGCTCTTCTAGCCCCCCTTCCCCATGGGGAGACCCACTCCAGCCCCCCAGAAATCCCAAAGCACAGCCCAAATCCACCACCCCAGTGACATGCCTGGAGAGCCACTAGACCTGGAAAAACAGCAGGAGCAGGGGCTGGGGATGCTGCGGAAGGAATTAGGAATCTGGTCCAGGCAGGTCCTGGCTCTGCCCATGTGGCTGATTCCTCACGTTCTGAGTTCACCCTACCCTCATTACTCCTCTGGGACCCTGAGCCCCATCTTCAGTCCCAAATGCCCCCAGGCTCTGTGAGCCCTAACTCTTCTTGCACAATGAGCCTGGTCCTGGCTCAAATTTCCTATCTTTCTGGAGCTCTGTGTTTAGTGGAAGACAGGCCCAGGAATACCAACTGGGACTCCTTTTAAGTTGCTGTCATATATCTGGGGGGCATAGAGGCCTGAGTGGTTCTATCTGACTTGGAAGGTTGGGGAGGGCTCCACAGAGGAGGTGGCCTTTGAGAAGGATTTTGACAGAGAGTGGGGCAGATGGGCATTTTGAGCTGGTATCAGCCTGGGCAAAGGCCCAGAGGCCTGGAGGTGCTAGGCGTGTTCTGCAGCCTGGTATGTGTGGAAGATGGGGTAGAGATGAGACAGGAGAAGTTGGCAGGGGCCAGATCCTTAAGGGCCTTGATTGCCTGTCCATGGATATCATTTATTCCTTGGGCACTGGGGAGCCATGGGTGGCTGTTGAGCAGCAGAGTAAGCATACAGTGTTTAGCATGCAAAATAGAAGCTAGAGACCTTTCTCAATTAGGTGAGATTGTGAGGGGAGGCTGTGGTCTTTCACCTGGATCCCAGTCTGGGCCTGGGCCTGCCTTGGTTTCCCTTGGCTATGAAGACTCTTGGGGACCTGCCTAATGATGCTGTAAGGAGGCTGTAGCATTTCTGCCAGCTTGTCAGAGCTCACCCTCCTGCCTGGCACTTTGTCTATGAAACAGACCTGAACCAAGAAACTAGAGGCTGGAGTTTGTGGACCCCAGGATGTGCCCCTGCAGGCTTCTCCTTCCCCTCCCAAACTGGGTGTGATTGGCCTTCCTGGGAGGCTGGAAGGCTAAGAGGCTGGGCACATGGATCTGAGGATGCTGGGTGTTCTCGTTCAGGCCTGCATAATCAGGAAGGGTGAGCATCTCCAGAGAATGGGCAAGGGAGTCAGCAACCCTCAGTGCTGATCCCCCTGCCCAGGCCCAGTGCCCCACCCTCGCTCGATGCTCTGAGCCCTTCCCTAGCATCACTGGGTGTGGCTAGCATGGCTGCTGTGGGAGTGGGAATAGGAGGAGGAGGCTGCTAGGTTGGGAGCTGGGGCTGTTGGGAGATATGAGATACGGAGTGAAGCTGTAGACCCCTAGCCCTCCCCAGCCCAGGTGGGTCCACAGGCCTTAGCTGTTCCAGACACTGGCCAGCAGAGCCAAGGGAATCCCCCAAGGGGCGGGCCAGTCTACTTGAGTGGCCTGGCCCCAGGAGCCCTCCCCTCGCCTGGATTGTTCTTGCTCCAGAACAAAGCCAGGGTGGACACTTGATCCCTGCATGTGGGGGGAGCTGGCTAAGCCCCCAGCCCTTTGATTGGGCAGCTGTCATGGGAGAGAGACAGCTGGGGGGGAGGGGCAGGAAGGGGGCAGCCGCCATCGCTTACACAGCTGTCACCTCCCCCCCCTCCAGCCTGAGTGGCAGAAAGCCAGGGACAGAAGGAGTGGGCACCAGGTCTGGGGAGGGGGCCTGGGAGCAGGAGGGAACACCCGAGGTCAGAGGCCTGGTCTGAGCTTGGTATGTCTGCCAGGGAGCCCTGCTGACCAGAGCAGGCTGGGCACCCGCGGAGGTGAGCTGGAGGTCAGTGTGGCATGATGTGTGGCTGCTACGTGGGTGGCCCGGCAGAGACCCAGGGCCCACCAGACTGGAGCAGCAAATAACTCCCTAGAGCCCCAGTGAGGGCAGGGGGAGACAGTAATGCCTATGGGGCTGCTTGTTCTTCAGGCCCTAGGAGAATAATTTGGAAGATGTGGATCAGGACCCCTTGTTCTCTCCTAAAGATAGGAAAGACCTTGAGGGTCTCTCAGAACAGGAAGGGCACAGAGAGACCAGCAACTCTCCCCTGACCCTTACCCCCAGACATACAAAGTACAGGTAAGTAATCCAAGGTCCAGGTCAGGTGAGGGCGTGGCCAAGGTCACCCATTGGACTCGGGGCAGTGGGTCTCAGCTGCAGACCCAGACATTGTTTTCATGGCTCTAGTTCTGGCCATGTTCCAGCCCTCCTGGCCCATTTTTTTCTGGAGCCACAAGAGGTGATGATAGCATGGGGACAATATCAGGTGTCCCATTGGTTACCACCCCAAAGGGGTTCTTGAGCCCCAGAAAATTTTGCAGCTTAAAATTGAGGCTCTGGACATTTTG